GACCAGGCCCTTCAACCTTTTCTTTTTCTTTCCTTCACACTCTATCTCTTCCCAACCCGAAGCTTCATGAAACTTTAAAATGAAACACACTACCCCTTCCCCCTTTTATATTCCCACTACAACCATCATTCCAAAAATAAATCAGCCTGATGAGAGGCCAGAAAAATCAAACCTTAATAGTTTTATACTTTCATTATTTGGTTACGGGACATTAGGTAGACAGCTTCATCACATATTTACAAATCCCCCTACAAATAAATGATTCTACGATATGCCCAAATTTCTCTGGCCTCTTGACTCCAACGTGTTTTTGTAATTACTTGGCACTGCCACTATATGCTACTTAAATTAGTTAACAGTCACCAAGTTATTTTTAGGCCATAGCAACACACACACACAATACCTAGCTTGATATTTGTACTTCTTTGAAAAAGGAACCAAAATTCCCTTTTTTTGTTTTTGTTTTTTTTTTACTGGCACCATCTTTTTTGTCTCATCAATAGTAATAATAATATTGAGCTACATTTACTGAGTCCTTACCAAGTAGGAGAAACTGTTCTAAACACTTTGCACACATTAATTCATCTAATTCCCAAACTAACACTATGACGTTGCTATTGCCATATCCTATTTTTGTAAATGAGGAAACGAAGGAACTAAGGGATTAAGCAACTTGCCCAAGGACACATCACTAGTAAGGGGAGAACCAAGACTAGAACTCAGGCCAACTGGATCCAAAGTCCTGCCTTAATCTCTCCACCATTTGTTACAAGGCAAATATTTGGCATGTCTGCATGTTAAATAGAGGCTCAAAATGACAACAGTCAATTTTTAAACGTAACTGTGTCTTCATTTCATGTCTTCAAAAAAAAAAAAAACCACAAGAACAACAAAAAACTCCATACCATTGCTGAAGGACAAGAGAGGACTTTTGCTCCCCCATCAAAACAAAGCAGGGATGGAAAGAATATTTTCACAGTCTCTGATTTCTGAGCATGGCCATTCAGTTTGTCACCCAACCCTATATTGCCTACAAGTGTTTATTTCAGAATCATTTTTTGACTGGGGACAAATGTTCAATCTATGTTGCTCATTTCTCAAGAGATAGATGGACAGTTTTATAGTATAAAAATCTGACCCCGTATGTCACCAAATCTTCCCTATGTACCAGTCTCCTCCTGAACTGCTTCCCTCTCCTGCCCTTGTTCCCCAATAAATACCTCGGGTACAGAAGCAGGCCTGTCAGAGTATAGCAGTCCGTTAATCTTTGTTTTGTAACAGCACAGAGCAAGTCTGGGCATGGTGTGGAAGTGGGGAGAGACAGACCCCAGGAAGGCGCTCCGAGGGAGGATTCTCCATAGACCCTACAGCCCATCAGTCACGGTAGGATCCTAAATTTTTTTTTCGAAATCTCAACAATGGGCACAAAACACAAAAATTAAGGAGTGAAAATCTCTGTACTATACTGTAAAATATTCCAGCTTTATTAAATTTAAAACCTTCAATTTAAACATTAAAATATTTAGGTGCTTTAAAAGGTTGTCTATACTGTACTTTAAAACACTTCAACAAAAAAGGAAGAAAAACAACCAGGGCAAAACATTAATAGCTGTTTAATTTAGGTGATAGGTATAAAGGTGTTTGTTATACTGTTTTTTACTTTCTATATGTTTGAGAATTATGTAGAATAAATATTGAAAGGCACATATTGTCTTTAAGGAGGAGGAAAGAGATGGGAGAATATCCTTTCCTACACAGGTAAATGACAAATTATTTCCCTGAAGCCAATCTTGCTGAAAAGAAAAGGCATATTATAAACATCATAGCCAAGATGGTAACCCCCCTTAGGAAATACCCAGACTTACCTAGCCTTGCCCCTCAATTTGGATAGAAACCATTTTAAAAATCAATTTGGGATTAAATGAATTATAATTACTTCCAAGTCTTCACAAAGTCCTAAATATTTATTCATTTGGATCATTTTCACCAGGTAAGTAGAAACACGTGTCTGATGCCCTTTATTCTCAGAAGATGAGAATACAAGATGGATTCAGACGTAGGTCAGAACAGGGAGGGGACTGTAAATTAGAACAGCAACTTAATCCCAGGGGCTTCTGGGCCTCTGATCAGTTTCTTCCCACCCTGACACAGCTTTACTAAAATGGCAACGGAGCAGCCACTCTCTTGACAGGCAGCACCAAACATGGAGAGCATGGCACTGAGACAGGGGGACATAGAACTTGGACAGGGAGGGTAGCAACCAGTGTTTACAAATATAAACCAGGGAATCAGATGGGCCAGCCATAAATTACCCGAGATCACACTGAAATCTCTGAAAATAAATTAACAAGGCCTTAGACATTTCTACCTTATATTCTAACTACCCCTCACCACATCCTCTTTGCAAAAACCTCTCATGCCAGAATGGTACCACTACCACTCTTGCTGAAATGAACTCTTAGATCACCAGGAAGGGGATTATGGAAACCTCAGCTGAGAAGCAAGAGCAAAATGTTTTGCTTGACCCACTCAAGAGTATACTTCAGGAGAACCTGGGAAAAGTTGCTGGCCAAGACTTTTGAGAGATGCCCACCCCGTCCTTCACATTAATGGTGCTATGCTACTAACCTTTGGATTGCCCAGATGTAAGGATAATTAGGAGCATTCTAAAGTTGATCCCTTTCCCTTCTTTCCCATCTTGGTCCCAATTCTGAGCCATTCCACCAAAAGAGAACAAAATAGTAATGATAATAGTAATTAATGAAGTAGATTACAGACCTCTTTGCTCCTAAACTATGTATTTTCAACCAAACTCCCAGATATTTGAAGAAAAAGACCCAAAAAGCTACAAATTATCCAACCTCTACCACCAGAACGTCTTCCAAGTCAACCGCCGCTGTGTCTCACCAACCTGAAAATGGCGAGCCCTCACAGTAGCCACCCAGGGCACCCAGTGGTGAGGTCAGCAGTGTGTCTGGCCCCGCCCCACTGAGGCAATCTCACTCTCTGACACTGAGGAACAAGCCCAGGCTGCCCTGAATCTCAGCTGCACCCACAGCAAAGGGGGAAAGAAACCCCACTTTCACCAGGAGCACCAAGGAGATTCATTTCTCAGTGATTGACAGACCACCCCTATAGGCAACAACATTCATTGCAAAATAGAGTAGGATCTACAACTATTCCTAATCACCCCCGTTTTCAAGTCTGGGGTCCTCTTAATTTGTGTTGTTTAGTACTCGTCCTTAGATCACGCAGACACACAACAGACCTGTTTTTTATCAAGAACATCTACTCTACGTGAGGAAAAAAGAGAGCAGCAAGACCATTGGCTACCCCTCTTGATAAACTCTTACAAATGGGAAGGCAAACTCTTACACATGGGAAATGCGTAGATGGTTATTTTCTCATCTGAAAAAGATGAAACAACTAAGATCATGGTGAGAGAAAACAGCAGGGTAAATCTACCGGGAGTCACTCAAAGTCAACCAAACAGGAACACATAAACAATAAAATCCAGAGCTACACAGAGGAAATCTGAACATATTTGTAGCCCCAAGAAAACCCATCAATGACAACAACAACAACAAATGTCTGGGTATTGCCAGTACTCTCCAGGTACAACCTCCACAGTCTTCTTCCCTTTAGAGCCCACCAGCCCTTAGGAAAGTTGTGCGTTTGTGGTAATTGAGTCCAATGACGGCAAGCTTGAGGAGGGGTTAGAGGATGGGAAGGGAGAGCATGTCAAAGGAATTCAGCACCAACCGTCTTCCCTAGAATACTACTTCACAAAGACAGAATGCATCATTGGGAGACAAGAAGGAGAACAGCAGAGCTGTCCTACAAAGACGAAACAACTGACTTGCTCACCCAAATGGCCTGTTCCAATGCAAGGTGTTCAAAGGAACCCAGCAATACCTTTGGTCAACATATTCTAGGAGACTGGTTAGAGATATGGCCCAGAAACTGTATAGCTTGGCTCAAAACCCAATAGTAGAGAAGAAAAAGTGTGACTATCTGTCACTACCATCACCAGGCAGAAGACGCTGAAGAAGACTGGTGTGCAGTGCCCCCAAAGGATGCCCTCTAATACAAAAAGGCACAACTCGGATGTATGGGAGATGAGGGCTCTCCTACTAGATTAGGGAACATCATGTGGGAGGAGCAAAGAGATAAGCAGGTAACTAAGTCCTTCTGCCAGGGCTCAACTCCACTGACCACAGAGCTGTTCTCTATTCAATGTGCCAGGGCAGGTGACCCACCACCCCACCTTGGGAGGATCCACAGTACCAACAGTTGTCAGGTGAGGCCAGAAAGAACAATAGATTGGGGGAATAATTCATGGAAATGTGTCTGTCCCCTTGGAATTCTGTCAGAAGAATGGATGCATTTGATGACCTTGTACTTTCCTTGGGGCCTTATAAGTAATATTAAGGATCTCTGCCCTTCTTGAAGGTCACTTTACACACCATACAAACACCAACCCAGTCAGAGAAGTGAGAAAGGAAGAACTTCTCACGGAAACAACTGGTACCTGTAGATTTACCTTCAGTTCATCATAGTTGCTGCTTCCTCCATTCCATCAACATTGGTTAAGTCTGAGAGACAATAACTTTTGAACTAGTTATTGAATGGAATAGAGAGCTATCAGAGGAAGCATCTGATATTGAGATACCAGCTGGTATAAAGTCCCGTTTTAGAAAGATGAGAGTACAGTCTCAGAGAGGTGAAATGACTTGCACAATGCAAAGTAGAAGCCAAATCGAGACTAGAACCCAGATCTTCTTGCTTCCACTTCAATGTTTTGTTTTTTTTAGTTTGTTTATTTGTTTTAATTTTTATTGCTATACCAAAATAACAAGAAAAGGGCATGGAAGGGAAGACAAGAAGAAGAAGAAGGTCTGTCTTGGTTTTTTGTAGCCAAGGGAAGAAGAACACTGTTACCTCTAAGTGAAAACCCAAGCTAATCAGGACTGTGCTTGGAAGGGGCACGGGGGCATTACCTTTCAACACCAGAGGTTCTTTGCCTTCTCTCTTCAGGGACTCGAGGACTATGTGGAGTGGCTGGGAGGGCATCACTCGGCTCGGCTCATTGGTATTCTCATCATAAACTATAATTTCTTTGGAAAAGATCCTCTTGAAAGAGTCTTTGCCTTCCCTACAGGAAATCAAGTCTAGGACAGTGATCTTGCCCTGCTGCAGTCTCCGCCGGCTGATCTTATCGGCACAGTTAATGTGGACAGCTCCTTGGATGTGACTCTTGTTGTACTCCATGAAAGGCCTACAGTCAATGATGACAGGGCCCTGGCTTGGCAGGTGACTCTTGCTGCATTTGGTCATCTTCTTTGCCAGGTCACTGGGGTAGATGATTTTGATGCTGGCTAGCTGCTTGGGGGTTCCTGATACAGGGCTGCCCACCCCCCCTGATGGAGTCAAAGGGCCTGTGTTCTCATTGTTGTTGACCATCTGGTTAGTAGGGCAGGTGGTGGAGGTTCCGATGGCGGTGGTGGCGGTGCCAGCAGCGATGGCTTGCGTTTGGGTCTGACTGTCCTTGTCGTAGGTTGCCACAGTGCAGCAGCTGGCACTGCTGCATCCACAATTCAGGGAGCGGGCAGAGCCGCTGGATGAGGGCATATACGTCAGATTCGCAGCCTTGAGGGACACAACGGTGGTGGCGATGACAGGAGGGTGGCTGTCACTGCCTGGGGTGGCAGAGCCAATGTAGCTAGAGTCTAAACAAAGGTTGAGATCCTGAGGTCGGACGGGCCTAGACAGTGCCACTACTACCCTGTCGTCTAAAGGAGACGGAGGCATGAGGAGGCTGAAAACTGGCAATTCAAGAAGAACTCAAGACAGTCTGCAAAGAAGGGGAGGGGGGAAAGAGAGCATAAAGTCACGTGACACAAAAGGCAGTCTAATCCAAACCCTCAGGAAAGACCTTTGCAACCCTCTGAGCAAAGTGGTCCTAAGCGCCCTTTAGCATGCCGCTGTCTAAGCTTGAGACTCATTTTTCATGTATTCAAAGAGGATGCACCCTGAGGGCCCCATCTAATTTGCGCGTTGAGTCTCCGGTTAAACATAGAGTCTATGCGAATGTTGATGAATAACCTTTCATGGACTTACATCAAAGTTCAGCCCTCGGAAAGGTAAAAACACAGAGAATTAGACAAGCTGAAGACAGGAAGGGGGTTCTTAGGAGGCCCTCTGTTCTGGACCTCAGCTCCCAGGCAGAAGTATACTGCAACCATCCGAGAAAGACCCATGTGTCCACTCTTGTGTGATTTCCATTTAATCCCTCATGCGCTGCAAAGGCAAAGGGATGACCGAGAGTGTTGGCGTGGCTCACAGAAATATACAGCAGCTAGTTATACCTCGGGGCGGATGGCAACTTTCTGCAAATCAGAATGAAAGTGTCCCCCTAAATGACTCTCCTTCACTAGAAGCTATTCTTGCTCCCCAGTCTACCAGGCCCTTTGAAAAGCACAGCACAGTCATATTAAGACCTCTCATGCTTCCCGTTAGCCTCTTATAATCTGCATTTCCCCTTTTCAGTACAGTCTGGTGTCCTAAAACAAAGCCTCAAGCCCAGGACCCAGGCCTGGAAACCCCAACCCTGGCAAATCCATCACCCATTGCTCCCTGCCGCACCTTCCACTCCTCCTTCTAAGGACAGGACCACCTCACCTCTCCTCCCCCTTCATCTCCCCCACGGGTACAGACTGTGCATCTTCAGGCTACCATTAGTGGGAGGCAGCCAGCCTCTCTGCTCTGTACAATATTTCAGTCCCATACAGATACCCCGTGCCCCTTCAAAAGAGGACGGAACTTTACATGGATTCCAGAAAGACAACTTCCCAGTCAGCCTGTCCCTGATAAAGGAGGCAGTAAAGTATAGCCCACCAGGTCCAGTCTCCTCAGAGAGCGCCTGCAAAAGGACAGGTCCTTTCTCCCTGTAGACACTGGGGCACTCTACACCGTGGCCCTGCTGGCTCCTCTCCTCCTGTTAGACAGGCACACAGCAAAGAAACCAAACCCCAAACAAGTGCTGTTCACCTAAACGAACTTTAAGAGCTATCTGGAAAATGTCAGCTATCATCCCTCTACACACGACCGTCACTATTCTCTGACACAGAGCTAAAGTGTCACAGGCAGAATCCACACATAACGGGCACGCACCCATCACGTCCCCAGATCCCCACTGACTCGGGTTTCTCTCACCCACCTTTGGATGGGAGCGAAGGAGCCAACCCTTCCCTCCCTCCCTTGCGTAGTATGTTTTGAAGAGCGAGTACTATTCCAGAAGCTCTAACTGTTTCCCATCTGGACCAAGCAGTGAAAGGCGTTGCTATTGTGTTACCTGGTAGAGTCCGTCCCAGGATCAACAGTCCATTTCCTAGGAGAGGGACGCTGAGCGTGTCCACGGAGACACGCCGGGACCCCCATGTCCACACGGAGTGCGCGGCTCGCACACACGCACAGAGTCTACAACGAAATCTGCATCCCTGCAGCAGATGGCCGGCCGATATAGCGCCCGTGAAACCATCCAGCCTGGCCCAGGAAACCTCCCAGCCAAATACTGAGCTCTCCCTCGCTCTCTTTCTCTCTCTCTCTCTCTTTCTCTCTCTCTTTCTCTCTCTCTGTCTCTCTCTCTCTCTCGATAGTCGCCCTTCCACCACTAGGCTGGGGCTGGCAAGAAAATGAAGTGGTTAGAGACGCCCCTTACCCACTCCTGGGGCACTTAACCTCCCCCTTGGCAACACGGGGCGCTAAGAAGCCTCAGGCATTTAAAACTACCGCAAAGCATCCCAACAAGCCTCCTTTTTTCTTCGCCCCAAATCCAAGTAGATTGCAGAGAGAGTACAGGCACCGGGCAGCGGAAGCCAGAACCTTAAAACCTCACCTGCTGTGGCTCCCCCATCAGCATCGCATCATACACGCACACACACAGACACACACAGACACACACAGACACACACACGCACACACACACACACACACACACACTGTCTTCCACTCCTCCACCTCCACTCCTGGGCTCGCAGGAGTAGCCGCGGTGACTTCCACTTACTTCATAAATGAGTGTAGCCCTCCACCATTTGGCGCTCCTCTTCAGCTATGGATTCGCACATTCAGCCCCCATTCACTTGGCTTCATTGACCTCCAGCAGCAACATAGTTACTTTCTCTTTTGCCACACTGTAAATGTACGGTTCTGAGGGGGCGGGCTGGTCGCCGACCGACGGCGCGCTGGGCCAATAGGAATCCGGAGAAACCCGACCACCACCTCACAGAGGCCTGCAGCCAATGGGCGACCGGAGGGGGCGGATCTGGGGGCGTGGCCTCGTCTCTTCACGGAGGGGTTATCCGACGCCGCTTCGGGTCCTCTGTGTTATAACACGGGCGGTGATGTCATTGGCAACCAATCAAAAACTTAAAAGAGCCAGCCGGGGCCCGCGCGGAGCAGCTGCTCTCTATTTACACGTAAACCGAACCGGCCGGCTGCAGTTAACCCTTTCCGGGGCTGAGTTGTCAATGGGCTGGACTCGCCGCTGCTGCGAAGCTGGCTCTCTTGGTTGAACCAGACCCCTGCGCCCCGTCACCCAGGGACAGACCACGGTGTCGTTTATTTTTTCTTCGTACTCTGGATGGATTATCAAGAGTGCCGGAGTAACTTCCCAAAGGCGGGAGAAACAGAACGTGCACCGTCCCTAGTGGGACCCGGGCTCTCCGGGCTGCTCCTGGTGACCTGACCAGTCCCAGCCCGAGATCCACGACCCTTGCTGGTGGCCTGCGCTCGGACCGCGGGGACGCACCGCGAGGGGCGCGTCTGTTCCCCGACTCGCGCCCGGGCCCCGCGCTCGGGCCCCGCGCTGGACGCCCGCGCTCCCTGGCACCAAGGCTGCGTCCTCGCGCGGGCCCCCGCTCGGCCACGCGCCGTGGAACGCGTCCGCCACCCGCAGATGTCGCTGCCCCTCCGGCTGCCCTACTGCCGCCCGGCGCTGTCGTCGCACCCGGCTTGGGAGCGGCGGGG